GTGATTTTGCATTCTTTGGGTAGATGCCTAGGAGTAGAATTGTTGGAGTACATGGCAGATCTATTTTTAATAGTTTAGAAACCTCCATACTGTTTCATTGGCTTATTTTGCTTAATAGAAATATAATATCTTTAAGGTTGTTACATGTGTCAAAATTTCCAATTTTTTTTTATTGTGGTAATACTGGTTCATAATACTGCATATGATGCAATTGGAGGGAATTATACCAAGCAAAATAAGTCAATAGGAGAAAGACAAATTTTGTATAATTTTAGCCATATGTGGACTATAAAGCAACAAAATAAACAGACAAAACCAAAAACAAACAAAAAAAAAACAAACCATTGAAATATCTGCAGAATTGAGGCTACCAGAGAGGGAGAGTTGTGGATGAGGACAGAGGCAGGAGAGAGCCCAATGGACATGGTGGAGGATCATGGCTGCTTTGGTAGCAGGTATAATGTGATAACATACATCCGAAGAGACGTGAAGCTGTACCCCTAAATCATAGACGATTTCTTCCTCCATACAAGGAGACTTCTACGTTCCTGAGTGAAACAGAAAAAGTCACAAGGGTTTTGCCCTAGTTTATAAGTGGTGGGGTCAGGCTCTGAGTGAGCAGTCTAGGCACAGACCTGGTGCTGCCTTTGCAGATGATCAGTTTCACTTAAATTCTCCAGATGTACTTTTGAGGACACAACCTAGCGGAATGGTAATCTTACTTGTTTAAGTGCAAAGACTTCTTGCTTAATGAAATAAACACATACTAGATTTTCTATAAGAATGAACTGCTTTCTTTTTGAAAGAAAATTTTTTTGTGTGTGGAAAACATTTAGTAAATTGACTTAATAAATTTTGGCAAGAAAGGATTAAGACATCAGTTATTTCTGTGGAGTGCTCAGTGCTGTACCTCATCATCTAGCAAGTTCACTTTCTGTGTGAAAATGTTAGTACCATACAAATCTCTCACATATTGCCCTACCCCTCCTTTTTATTGGCATATCTATTTGTCTGAAGGAATTCACATTAGTTAAATTAAGAAATTTTAATGATATCTCAATTTCTCCATATTATTATAAAAAAGGACAACATTTGGCTCCTTTTATCTTATTCTAGGATGTGTCATACTGAGGAAACAGTTTAGATTTTTTTTAAACATTTATTTATTTCTACAAGAACCAGGGAACAGGCAAGATGCGTGGGAGGGTGAGAGGATTCAGCAGAGACAGAGCGGGGAACAGAACAGGCAGACTAAAGAAATACACTGCTGAGGGGAGCAGCGGATGAGACAGGAGAGGTCTGCTTTGCCATGTGGGATTCTTGCCGGCCAGCCGGGATCGAACTTGCGCTGCAGAGGCTGCAGACAGCTTCACAGTGCGGCGTTCAACCCGCTGCGCTACCAGGGAGGGCCTAGATGTTGTTTTATACAGATTCTTTTAAGCTAACTGTCCTCTATATGCCTATTAACATATAAAATCAGGGTTAGAATTTGGAATACCTTTATTTTCTTCAGAGACTATCTTTTTCAGTAGCCTGAGCAAATCTTGGTGATTTTTATATCAGTGTCCATTACCTGATAATCTAAGGATTTGTCTCTCTAGGTCCTGAGCTCCTACAATGAAGACCAAGTGTATTTGACATTATTGGCTCTGGACAGTAAAACAAAACTGGAGGAATTTACAAGACATAATATGTTAGATAAAATCATTATTAGATATAATTATGTAATATTAATTTATGATTCTAAACTATTAGAAAATTAACTGCCTTATAGTGTGGACTAAATTTTTCTCAAAGGTAATTTCTTATTTATCCTGTTTATGTTTATGATATTTTTCCTTATCATCATTAGTGTTGTCTTTCTCAATTTAGTTCAATATTAAATTTGCATATTTCTTACTCATTTCTTCAATACATTAAGTTTGATATTTTCCCTAATTTCAGTTACTTTTCTGTTAAAACTGCAAGGTAATTTCCCTTGGTAGAGGGTTATAAAAAGGAGTGTAAAATGTGAAAAATATTTACATCATTATTTTCGTATCTTTTGGTACAGGAAGCATGATATTACCACTGCCAGGTGTGATAAAAGAAAGGCAAATACTTAGTATTAAAGAGAGAATAACATTTTAAGAAAATGGTAACAAATCAGTTGTGATCCATAAATATTTTTGAAGTAACACCTGATATTTTCAAAGGATGGGCAGTAAAACAGTACCAGCCAGATAATTCACTTAATCAAAGTAAAGACAAAGAAAAATTTACTTAGCTTATACTTTGTCAGAATATTCCTACACAGAGCAGGTAAAAGCATGAGAACCTTTCTTATTGAAAAGATGAAAAACTGGAGGGAAAATCAAATGCTGTACAAAAATTAATAACACTGTAAGAAAATAATTAAATTTAATTAATTTTTTAAAAAAAGAAAAGAAATAGAAGTAAAACTGAAAATAATAATGTTACCACCAAAGTCTAGAAGATGAGCATGTGGGAGTCTAAGGTAATAGCAAAACTGATGGCTAAATAAGGAGGTAGGTAAAGACAAGAGTGGGCTGACACAGATCAAGAGATAATGGTCTTCAACTTGAACAGGCAAGTGAGAGTTTACAGAAGTGGGGGGATTGGGAAAATAGTTGTAGTGAGAGAGCTGGATGCATGGTACTGAAATTTCAGAAGTAAAACAGTTCTGGTAGACAAAGAGAATGACCATGGAGTGAGTAGCTAAAGTTGAATGAGAATGAAAAGCTCAAAATGGACTTTCAAAATGGAGATAAAGGAATGTGGGTGGGATTGGCTACCAACTTGAATAATTCTTTCATCTCTCCATAAATCAGATGGGCTGCCTGTATCATGTGGGAACATAAAGGCAGTAGAAGAGTCATTCAAGTCATGAATTAATTATTCAATCCACGAATAATTAATTTATTCAAATCATGAGTTATTCAAGTCATGAATTAACTCACGTGGTAAAGAACATCACATGGTATGCACATTTCCCTTCTTATTCTCATACCGGGTCACACCTAATATGCTAACACTTCTCACTATGGGCAAGTGGACCTGATGTCTAAGCAATATGAAGAAGGCCCACTTTTTCAAGACAAACCTTCACAAGGGGGCATACATTTGATAGATGGAAAACTGGGGAAAAATAGTGTGTGTTTGTTTCACTTAGATCTTAGATTGTCATTATTTTGATCTATGATATAAGTAGGGAAGGAAAATGATGGATGTGAAGGGCAGTTCAAGAAGATCTGAATTTTAAAGAAAGTAATAAATGGAAGAATGGGAGGCAAATGTTTCATCTGCAGAAAAGCACAAAGGTGCTGAACCGTTAGAGTAATCATGGTAAGAACAGCTCTGTTTCTTTCTGGACTTTCCTTGGTGACTTTCTAAATTATTCTGTTCTCCATACCAGAGAAGTGGCTTTTATTTTTAGATAAGGAGAGTGGGAGCATTATTGATCTTAGAAGTCAAACTGCCTTAATCATACAACCTTTCCTATCAAATTTTCTGCTAGAAGTTGTGGGCATAATGGGTGGGTTTAATAATTTTCACTTTTTAAAGTTCTTCACTTGATTGTGTAATGAAAGAGTCACACATTATCAATACGGTCACTGAGAAACAGGGAGAATAACAAAAGGCCTCACAAACTTTATAGATAAAACCCGAAGTTAGTATTTAGGAAGTCTACCCAAAAACTTTTTAAAAATAGGCTATTTTTTAGATCATAGCAAAATTGAGTGGAAAACACAGAGTTCTCATACCCTATTCATTCCCCTGTCCACAGTGCCTACCCCATTATACAGCCACAATTTTATAATGATATAAAAGCATGTGGGTTTGACCAGCCTTTCTGTTTAGGATTGAGGCACTTATTCCTCAAGCTGCTCTAAGTGTTGGCATAACTCATTTTTAGTTTCCTACCTAGAAATTGTTCTCAGTCAAAAGAAGCTGACTCCTGTAAGCCAAAACCCTCTCCTGGAGACTGCCTGCATACAATGTCTAATCAATGCTGCAGTACTATTGCCTAGCCCCTGTATTTCTATTTGGGCCATCTATGAAGAACCACCCCAGCTTCACAGCTTTCCCATGCAAGATCAACTGCTCTTGCAATCCTGCTTTCCTCACTAATGCAGAGGTGGTGTCTCAAGTTAAACCTAGATCAAATCTTTGCAAGCACATCTCTGGGTTAGGGTCTGTTCCCATATGTCTAAGTTTGGGGAACTTTCCTAATGACACATAAAATGTTGGTAGTAAAAATATGGGACTATAATCAAAACAACTAATTTTGTTCTAGTCCTACTACTGACAATCTGTGACTATGATTAATTTAATTTCTCTGAGTTTCAGTTTCCTCATCTTTAAATCAGGGATAATTTCTTATGAAACAATGGTTACTAAGAGGACCCAAGCAGGGACACACACACACACACACACACACACACACACACACACACTTTCAAATAAAATATGACAATTTACATTAACTGGCAATTAACTAAGCGTGATTATTTTCACATTTTCTAATTACACAAGCAGCAAACCCATCAGACAACTCAATATTAAGATTATACCTAAGAAGAAATATCTACTATATGCTTGATCCTGTGCTATGTGCCAGATATACAAAAATGGCATGGCACTTGAGCTCAGGGGATTACAGTCTACTGTAATCTACAGATTACAGATTAGCTACTCACTCCATTACAGTCTATTTTGACATATGATACAAACAGATACATGTGATCAAGTATTACATAAGCCAAAATGGTAGTAGGATGCCCAGAAATCAAGGAAGGGGGTGGGTATTTTTTCAAGGATATCAAAAGACTTTATAAAGGAGGTCATCCTTGAGGTGAGAAATTTTTAAAGAAAGGTACCTTAATCATTTCTAAAGAATAATAAAAATTTAATTATAACCCTTAAAACTATTTTGTGTATATTTATCATGCAAAGAATTTTCACAGACACAGTAACAACCAAGAGTAAAGTTTACTTACTGTTATCTTACGAGGACAGTCATTAGAACAGAGACCACTAAGAACTGTGGAAAAATAAAGAACCAGCCATTACTACTATAATAATGTAAGCTTATATTTAAAGTGAGCTCTAATTCCTTCTCCCCAAATCTATGAATATGCTGTTGATTCATGATGACAAGCAGAAATCAATTTCTTTAGATCTGAGTACTGAATCACAGGGTGCCAATATTTCAAAAATTTTATTAAGCAACCAAGATGCTACTGTTTTGTGAAATGTATAGGTGGAAAAAAAATCACACGATACCTATTTGCAAAACAGTTTTCAATGTTTAAGTTTCTTAAACCAGCACTGTGCCTGGTTCTTTCATTCTGAAACTTTACATGACTTAACTTCTCCCTTTTTTCTGCTTTCCTCAACTCTAGGCAGATACTGGTACTTATTTTGCACTTATCCCAAAATTTTCGTTATTTTTGTAATTTTCGTTAACTTTCATTTAAACCATCAAATTGCTGAATAGTAATTATTTATTCACAAGTTGTCTGTGTAGTAGTATGTAAACTCTGGATCATTTTATTCTTATTTTCTCAGCCCCTAACCCAACATTTTTTGCCCAATAAATATTTGTTAATATTTGTATGATTTAAATAGATGTATTATTTAATAAATGGCTACTGGGAAGAAAATGAAGTTATACTTTAGCTCATAACATAAAATTTACATTTGGCAAAGAATCTGAACAGACAGTTCTCTAAAGAAGATATACTGATATACAAAGCTTACAAAAAGATGGTCAATATCATTAATGATCACCATAATGCAAACCAAAAACAATGAAATGAACACTGATATTTATAGCAGCTGTATTCACCAGAAGTGTAAGTAACCCCAACGCATGTCCAATGATATATGAATGGATAAACAAAATGCAATATTATTAAGTTAAAGAGGAAAGAAATCCTGTTACAACTTGGATGAACTTTGAGGACGCTATACTATATGAAGGAAGCCAGGCACAAAAAGACAAATACTGTATGAGTCCACTTATTTGACATATCTAAATTAGTCAATGCATAGAAACAAAATAGAATTGTGGTTACCAGTGGCTGGCGGGAGGGGAATTGGGGCAGTTGTTAAATGTAACAGTTTCAGAAAAAGTTCTAAAAATCTGTGACATGACTATGTTAATACATTTAACACCACTGAACTGGTACACTTAAAAATAATTAAGGTGGTAATTTTTTATATTTTGTGGTTCTACAATAAAAAATGGCAAGATGGTAAAATAAAACAAACCCACAATGAGATACCAGTTTCATATCCACTAGGATGGGAATAATAAACAAAGTGAAAAAATAATAAGTGTTGGTAATGATGTGGGGGAATTGGGTCCGTCATACATTTCTGGTCAGAATATAAAACAGTGTAACTTCTGGAAAACAATCTGGCAATTCCTTAAAAGATTACACATGGAGTCTCCAATTAAGTGCAGTAATTCTATTTTTAGATATATCTCAAAAGAAATGAAAATGTATGTCCACACACAAACTTGTAAATGAATATTCATAGTAGTATGATTAATTACAGCCAAAAGGTGAAAGCAATCAAAATGTCTATCAACTGGTAACAAAATGTGAGATACTCATACAATGGGACATTATTTGGCAATTTATTTATTTATTTATTTAAAGATTTATTTATTTATGCATACAAGAGCTGGGGCACAGGCCAGAGATGCAGGGGGTGAGAGAATTCACCAGAGACAGAGTGGGGAACAGAACAGGCAGACTGACTGAAATATACCGCTGAGGGGAGCAGTGGGCGAGACAGGAGAGGTCTGCTTCGCCATGTGGGTTACTCCCTGGCAGGCCAGGGATCGAACTCGTGCTGTAGAGGCTTTGGATTGCTTTGTAGTGCAGTGCTTAAACCCTTATGCCACCAGGGAGGCCCTATTTGGCAATTTAAAGGGATAAATTTTTATGTATGCCACAAAATGGATGCAGCTTGAAAACACTGTTACATGGAAGTCAGCTACAAATGACTACATATATGATTCCATTCATGTGAAGTGTCAGAATAGAAAATCTATGGCCATAGGAAGTAGTGGTTGTCTAGGACTTGGGGGTTGGGAGATCGAGGGGATAGCTATGAGTAAAGGGTTTCTTCTGTAATGAAAATGTTTAAAAATTGATTGTGGTAATGTTTGTACAACTGTCAATATTCCAAAAGCCATTGAATTTTATATATCAAGTGGGTAAATTGAATTATATGTGAATTATATCTCAATAAAGCTGATGCAAAATAATAAAGGTACCATGAAATAAAACTAGTAATAAACTTGAAAAAAAATGAAGCAATATTATTGGTTAAATTCAGAGCTTTTAGCTATAAATTATAAGAGCTATCAAGTAACACAAAACAAAGGGGATAGAGAAGTAATAGAAGAAGAAATGCAAATAATAAAAAACCATGAAGAAAGACTCTCATCTTCAGTGGTAAGGGAAAAAAATCAATTTTATACCTAAAAGAAAGGCAAAAAAAAAAAAAGACCAATAAAATCATCTGTAGAAAGAACAATAAAATCAAAGATAAGTGACAAAACAGGAAAAATATTTGCAACATACTCCACAAAGAATTAATTTCCCTAACATATGCTATAATGCATTTATAAATCAATAAGATGAAGGACAAGGGTTATTCATAGAAATAAAAATACAAATGTCTCTTACTCTTATGAAAAGATGCTGAATCTTACTCAGTATAAAAAATATAAAACAAACGAACTATTTTCACCAGTATAATTGGCCAAAAGCAAAAAGTTTAATAACCCATTGTGTTGAGGAGGGTATTAGGAAGTGTGCATTCTCATATACTGCATGTATAAAATAACATGCACTAAAATAAAAACCACTTATACTATAAAGTTCAAAACCAGGCAGAATTAATCTAAGTGTTGGAAATTAAGATAGTAGTTACCTTTGGGCAAACTGGGTTAGTGACTAATAAGGGGGCGATGTAGAACTTTCTGGTTGCTAACATGTGTTTCTTGATCTGAGGGCAATCATATGAGTACATTAACATTGTGAAAATAATTCATCTTTGCACTTATGTATACATTTATGTATGTCATATTTCAATAGTATGTTTATTAAAAATGCATAGGCAAATTTTAATAATGCTATTTTAAGGAATTTACCCTACAGGATATTCACTCTGATATTATTTATAATAATGAGACTGAAAATAATTTTGGTATCGATCAATAAGGAACTCACTAAATTATGTTATATCAATACTATGTGATACTATTCAGGAGTTAAAATAATAAGGCAGATATTGCTTGGTATAATCTCCAAGATAAATTGTTAAGTGCAAAACACAAAGCATAGAACTACCACTTATAATCATGTATATTTACATATGCATAAAATATTTTGAATAGACACAAAGAAGAGGTTGTTTTGGGGAAGAAAGACTGGACCACTGGGAGATAGCGGTAAAAGGGAGATTTACTTTTTACCACATACTCTTGTGTTTTTTTCACCTTCTGCATGTATTACTTATTTATAAAACAACTTTATTAATGAAATTAAAGATGTAGAGAGATCAGATTAATGTGAGATAAACAGTATCATATGAATACCTGTAACTCTTGGAAAGATAATGTTTTAGTATTATGTATTACATTAAAAAAAGTACCTTCAACTCTTCAGTTTCATGTCTATTTGGAAACTACTTACGTATTACTGAGGGAGGAAATCCTCCATACATTGTGAAACATCCATGGTATTATGGAATAAAATAGAGCTATTAACTCAAAATGAGGGTGGACTGTAAATGCTGAAGGGTATTCATACTCTCTTGCTAAGGTGAAAAACCAAGATGCAGACAAATGTTTAGTAAGATTCTTTTTGCAAAGTGTTCCCTGAATCCCACAGACGTAATATGGATAAAAACAAGTCTGATACAGAGTTTACACATTATGATATTCAGAAAAGTGAAAAATAATCTATGGAGACAGAAATCAGAATAGTGGGTATAGTTCTTCAGGTAGTATTGACTGCATTGTGTGTGGGGGGTATGAGACAATTTCTGGATTAGTGGAAACATATCCTTTTAATTTGGGTGTAATAATAGGGGTACACATATAGAGTTCACCAGCTATATATTGGAACCTTATTTCCTCTTACAACCCTTGCTATAACTTTCTATAGTTTCCTCACTTTACATCAATATGGCTGTATTTAGCCTGGGTGTGACCTGTTAATTATGGACATTTATTTTTTTTCCTTTGTTTTGACCATTGCTGCAAAATTCACCTTCACCATCTGCACATTGGATCAGTCACTCTGTGTCTTAAATAAATACTGGATGTTTTGTTAAACATTACCTAGATGTTTCTGTGAGGATGTGTATGAATCAGATGAACATCTGAATCAGTAAACTAAGTAAAACAGATTGATCTTCATAATATGTGTGGGACTCAGCCAATCAGTTGAAGACTTGAGTAGAACCAAATGCTGACGCTCTCCTAAGTAGGAATTCTGCCTGTTGGCCTTCAAACTGGAATATTAGCTTCTCTTGCCTGACAAACTGAGACATTGGTTCTACCTGGTTCTACAGGTGCCTGCTGGCCTTTGAACCAAACCGGGACACTAGCTATTCTTGCTCCTTCTAAAGCAGCGTCTGGACTCCAGACCTGAAATGGAACATCAGTTCAGTAGATTTGGGTTTTTCCAGCTTTCATTATTGTATGAGTCAATTCTTTACAATAATTTTTTCTCTCTTTCTCTTTTGCCATATTGTTTTAGTTCCAGAGAACCCAAGTATCTGTAATTACTAGGTCCCTGACAAAATCTTCTCGTTACCATTCACAAATGGACAATATCCTCCCTGGAACACATTTCTGCAGTTTCCCCAGCCCTGTCCTGGCCGTGAGCAACCATTAATTTACTGCTCTGATTTACTACTCATCTACTCTGTTTATATATTTATATATTAGGTACTTTGGGTATATTTTATAGGAAAATTAAGAAATACAGAGAAGAAAAATGTAAGTCACTT